CACTCAGGGAAGCGTCCCGACGCCAAGCTAGCGTCGAACACCTCCCCGAGGCGGTCTGCCATGTGGTTGAGGGCCAGGGCCAGCACTCGGGCCGGTACCCCGTCTGGCCCAGGGGCGGTGTTCTTGGAACGGATCCGTAGAACAGCCGCCCCTACCTCCGAATCCCGGACGGGCGGAACATTGTCCTCCCCGTGCTCCCCGTCGTCTCCGGCCAGGGAGGCCATCGACGGGGGAGTGTGTTCCGCTCGTTGTGGGAAAAGGCCCTCAACCACTTCTCGCAGGAAGCTGGGCTGGAGAGTCTCCGTAAGGGGGGGGCCCGACGCGCGGAGCTTTTGTCGCACCGCGCGGTAAGGGCGACCCCAGGGGTCACGATTAAGACCCTCCAGCATCTCCTGTCTCTTTTCCTCTTTGGCGCGGCTAATGGCCAGCTTCAGAGTTTTCCGCGCCCGCCGGTACTCCTCATGAAGCCGGTCCTCCTCACCGTCTCCACGGTGACGCCGCCGACTGCGTGTGTAGGACCTCCGGGCACGTGTACAGGCCGCACGGAGGTCCGCCAGCTCCTGGGACCACCAGTAGACCTCCTTCCTTGGAGGCCGACGACCTCGAACGCGGGGCATGGCCGCATCGCATACATGCGTAATCGCATCGCGAAAGCGGCCAGCCCCCACGTCGACCTCCTCGGTCGGAGCCTGAGGAGACAGCCACGAGTGAATTATGGCTGCCTCCTCTAGTAGGTCCCGGTTCAGCCTGGCAACAGCCCACCGCGGAAAGCGGGATAAACGCCGCGCCACGTGACCCCTACTGGAGTCCTGGGTCCGGGAGAGCTCAAATCGGATATACAGGTGATCCGAGAGCGTCTCAACCTCTTCCAGGACACGCCAGTTCCTTACTCGTGCGGCGAGGGCAGGGGTAGCGAACGAGAGGTCCACTATCGACCCCCCCTGCTGTCGCACGCACGTGTTGGTGGAGCCTCTGTTTAGAAGACAGAGGCCCACCGAGGCCGCCCACTCCTCTACGGCCTCGCCCCTGGCGTCCGTCCTGGGGGAACCCCACGCAATGGACTTTGCGTTGAAGTCCCCCAGCACAAGGACGTGCCCAGACGCTAGTCGCCGTATCGAGGTCTCCAAGCTGATTAGGAAAACCTCGAAGTCGTTCAAACTCCGGCTGGGGGAGAAATAGACACCATATATGGTGATCCCCCCCCACTCGACGGCAACATATCCAGTGCCCTTGTCTCTTAGCGACAAGGGCGGGGAATGAGCCGTCGTGGAACCGACGACTGCCACGGAGCCGTCCCAGTCACCCATCCAGTTTGGACGGGGAGGGACAGAATAGGGCTCCGCGACTACGGCAACACCTATCGACCACTGTGCCATGGTTTGCAGGAAGAGATCCTGCGCCGCGGCACAGTGGTTCAGGTTCGTCTGGACCAGGAGGTTGGAGACTTGATCCATTACTGGATCGTCTCTACAACCTCCTCCATGGGCGACGACGTCGACGCACGAACTACATCGGAGGCAGCCTGGGTCGACTGGCTAACCCCCGACGTCTGCCGAGAACTGCGGGGAGGCTTGCAGCCTCTCTGCCCCATCTGGTGATTGGCGGGCTTATTGCCCGCCGCACACACTGGGCAGTGAGGGGCGGCAGAGCATTCTGCCGCCTTATGCCCCGGTTGACCGCAGCGGAAACAAAGTCCGCCGCAGTCAAAACAACTGTCACACTTGACGCGCGTGTGTCCCGATGCCAGGCATTTGTAGCATCTCATCGGTCTCGCCGCCAGGACTGTGATCCTGGCGCTCACGAAACCGATGAGCAGCCTGCCGGCGTCGGCCAATACTTTGGCCGACGCTACGGGACAGCTGACCCACACGGCGCCAAGCCCTCCTGGACCGGGGCGGATGGTGCCGACCCTGACGTTGTCCGCGCTGCACCCCGTCTTCTCCCGGATTACAGCGCGGACATCTTCGGCCGTCACTGAGTCGTCCAGGCCCGAGATGCGCAGTTCCGCGCACTTGGTAGGCCTGGCGACCCTGACACCATCTGTGGCTGCAAATATTCCCCGCAGCTTCTCAGCGAAGGAGTCCGCCGTCTTTGCGCCTTCAGCCCCAGGGAACTCGAGAACTCGAGCTCCCGTCTGGGCGAGGCGCATCCTGACCCCCACCGTTCCGAAGTCGTTGGCGAGGCTGTCCCGGGCCTTTTTGAAGACGGCCGCGTAGGACAGCCCGCCGTCCGCCGCCTCCGGGGACACGGTCACCACTACAGCCGCGGTTTTGGGCGGCTGCAGCTTCCGCGGCCTCTTTGTGGAGGCCGTTGCCACCGGTGGCGAAGGCTGGGCCTGGGCTGCTTTTTTGGCAGCCTTTTTGGCCCGCCTTCGGGACTTCTTGGAGCCCCTCGCCTCCTGCCAACCCTCGTTGGAGGGGGCAGGTGCGGAGGGGCCCGGCAGGGGTGTCGGAGTGGGGAGCGGAGGGAATGCCACTCCGCTCCTCGGCGCCGTTTTAGGCCCCGTCTTGGCCGGCGCCTGGGGATGTGCCTTGGCCGGCGCCTTAGCCGGTGCCTTGGCCGGCGCCTGGGCCGGTGCCTTGGCCCCCCTCCTCGGCTTTTGGGGAGCCGATGGAGTCGGGGCAGACGCCGCCGCCGCGTAGGAGACGCGGCCTCCCACTACGGGCAGCGCGGTCGGAGTGGCGGCCTTAGGCCGCTGTGCCGACGCGAGCGGGGGGCGCATACTCGGCGCAGGGGGCAGTCTCGCCTCCAGGCCAGCCAGGCGTCCGTCCAGCATATTCCCAACTGCGATGAGGATTTCTCGCAGTTGGGAGTCAAATGCCCCTGAGTTGGTGGTAGGGGCAGGCTGGGACGCGGACGGGGCTTCCCGCTCGGGGAGGTTCGCCTGGAAGCGGGCGAACTGAGCGCTCAGCTCGTTCACCCGCTCCGTCAGCTTCTCGTTGGCCACCTGCAGGCGAGAGACGTCGCCCGCTAGGCCCTCCACGACCTCCGACAAAGCGGAGGAGGAGTCCTTAAGGGCCCTCACAAACGAGCCCTTAAGGTTCACGGATTTGGTGGCCACCTTGTTGATGACGGCCACCGCCGCTTTCGCCCTCTCCTGCACGGACACGGGAGCCTGGGGGGCATTTCCCCCCACCGGCTCCCGAACCTTGAGCAGGAGATCCGCGATCTCCTCCTCCGCTACGGCCTCGCCGTCCACCCGTACACTTCTGTAGGACTCCGCGTTTGAGAACGCGGAGCCTGACGGGGTTAAGACCGGGGCCGAGGCCGGTTTGCGCGCCCTCCCTCGGCGGCTGCTTGCCACCTTTGGTGGCATCATTTCGCCGGACGTGTCGGATTCCACGTCCCCTGAGCGTCCGCGTTTCCGGCTGTCGCTCCGCTCCGCTTCCATGGCCTCCGCGCCATCCGATGAAGCGGCGGATCCGGAACGCAGCCGATCCGATGCTCTTCGGCTCCCAGTGACCAGAGTCAGACTGACCTCTGGGAGCCCCATCGAGATAGGCGTTCCCGACACCATCTCGCCCTCAGTGGACGACCCATCCGCTCCACTGTTCTTCTTTTCCTTCCTTGCCTTCGTTTCCTTCGTTGCCGTTAGACTTGCCTTTGGTTGTTGTTTTGTTCCGATCGTTTTCTTTGATTGAGTTTGATTATTGTCCATAATTGATCCCACGAGTGGGGGAGAACTAAAGGTCCACCCGGGCAGAGATCCCCCATTACCCGGGCAAGCGTAAGTTTTTAACCCAACCGAGGGGTCCGCAGGTACCTCGGCTTGGAGTGCGCTCGCGACTGAACTTCCCATCAGCCATGCATCCCCTGGCCACGCACCAGAACACGGGATTCGGGGAATTTTTTAGAGAGGTTATCTTCCTCGCGGTCCGGGCGGTTAAGCCAAGACCCTCGTCCCCGATCAGAGCCGCGAGACTTAACCACAGCGCTCTTCTCGGGATTACGATATGCCGACGGTTGACAGGGAGACTACGTCCCCCTGCCTGCTCGGTGGTAGTGTGAGTACACGCCGAGCCCGTCCTCCTTTCTCCACCGCTATCAGCGGAGAAAACTGTGGCCCCGCCATCAGGTTTTTTACCGAGGTTTCCTCCTCCATGCTCCGAAGAGCGAAGAGCCAGCAGGGCAACCGGCAGACACGCCCACCCTGCTGGACCAGGCCTTGCCCGAGAGCCGATGAACGGCTGCCTCTTCTGCTAGAATATTGGCCGCTGGCGATAATCCTCTCCTCCAAGAGGACAAGGAGGAAACAGTACCATCGCCAGCGTTTCCAGGGTGCACCACGAGGAGGTTTTCTAGCCCAGCACCCCATGCCTAACCTAACCTAACCTAACCTAACCTACTTTTCTTTAAGCAGCTAGTTTCTGACGAAGTCGTAGTTCTAACCTAATGCTTAATTAAACTTAGTAAATATTTAAAGAGATGTTTTTGTTATAATGAATCGCAATGTCTATTTTTACATTTTAGTTGAAATACCATGGAAAAATACATCGATCAAACAATATTTGTTAAAAAATAATGCCACTGTTTGATAATTTTGTTAAAAAAAAAAAAAAAATCCTTGCTTATTATAAAAAAAAAATGAAGTCCCCTGACCGCGTCTGTCTGTCTGTTTGCGCGCGATACTAAAAACCTACCGAAGGGATTTTGGTGCAGTTTTCACCAAGAGATAGTGTTAGTCCTGAGGAAGGTTTAGGTATATAATTCATGATGGTTTTATGTAAATTGACTGAAATATCTACTAATATGAATAACCGGGCGAAAAAATAATCACGGTTACCGAAATCAACGCGGGCGAAGTTGCGGTGGAAGATAGTGATTATAAAATTAATTGAATTGTGTTTCTGTGAAATATGTTACAATTAACTAAATACTCGTTGAAAAAATAGTACCTATTCGAAATAAAGATACAAGAACCAAATATTATGTGATACATTTTCTGTGATCGATATACTATATAGTTATTTTTCTGTCTGAAAAAATCAATTTATTTTCAGATACCAAAGGAACCATTCGTCTGGGCCAAAATAGAACAGTTTCTTACTTTATTACCTGAGCCATTTTCAACAGAAACCAAGCAAACCAGGTTAGTAAATAAAATTGTTACGTTACCTTCGCAAGTTTATCACAGGGTTTATCTCGGTTTATCACGGGGGCCCTCCCCCGTGATAAACCGTCGCCTTTTTAGACAAGGAGTCAGGGTCCAAATTAGTGACTTTATTATTGACATTACAAAAGACTATTAAGTTTTCAAACTGTAATAATACAGATAATAGATCCGTGTAACTGGAACGATGATAAGTATTTATTTCTTTTATTATAGTACCAGTAGTACGCAAATTGTTCTGATATGGATTTCTTATTGTTTTCTTTTTAACCACAGCAACAATTTAAATTATGTTTGCATATAACTCGTATACATACAAATATGAAACAATAAGTGATTATGGACAAGCTGGTATGAAAAGTAATACAATTTTCCTTTCTTTTTTTATAGATTCTCAAATAGTTTCAAGTCCGTAACAAAACTAAGACTAGAGTATGAACGACTTAAGTCATATCTCTCGAAAACAAACAGTCCCTTGGTGTTTGCTCACAATGATTTGCTTCTAGGAAACATAATCTACGACAAAGATGAAGATAAAATACATTTTATTGATTACGAGTACGCTTCGTACAGCTACCAAGCGTACGATATAGCCAATCACTTTAACGAATTTGTTGGTAAGTACTGCTCTTAGCTACTACTGCTACTTGTTATTTTATATCGGATCCATACCGTGTCGTTTGTAATGAAATAATTCATAGTTAGGTACTTTCTTTACCATCTAAGTGAAAAGTAATAGAAAACAAGCTACATACTGCCACTTTTAATAAATTTATGCCATGTCAAGACATTTTAAATTGACCTACATACTTTATATTTTTATTGGATTGTTACATGTTTTTTGCACACGAATAAGTAAACAAAAACTATTGTTATATCTCAATTAGTCTAATTTTATAAAGTACTGGTATATGTAGAATAATACAATGAACGACTTTTAAATATAAAGTACTCATGTGGCACACACTGATGATAATTGTGACGAGGCAGAGCCTGTGCTACGGTAATCCGACTGCTGATAAACATACTTATATCTATACATAAATGTATTTGTAAATGTATATACATAAATGTATTTCTAACTACATACATATATTATAGACTAGCTGAGACCCGCGGTGTTACCCGCGTTTGTTGTTATAACCGCGGGCAACGCCGCGAGGCGAAGCTAGTCTAAAAAAAGTAGCCTAAGTTACTCCTTATGTCATCAGCTATCTGCCAGTGAAAGTTCCGTCGAAATCGGTCCAGCCGTTCTAGAGATTACCCAGAACAAACAGACAGACAGACAAGAATTGAAAAAAATTTTATTTTGGCATATGTACCGTGTAAACATACATATGCATTGATATAATACTTATACATATGCATTTAGTAAAAAGCGGTTATTTTAATATTACAAATAGACACCCCAATTTTATTTATTTGTATATAGACATAGATAAATTACACCCAGACACAAAAGAAACATGGCACTCATCTCACAAATATTTGACCTGGGTTGACGACCCCGTCATAGTACCTCTACTCAATGTAATAAACTATGTCAAAATTATATATTTCTTTAAAGAATACTAGCGGCGTGAGTCCTACATTACCAGTATTTTATAAACCTCACTCAAATGCTTGTGATGTGAATTTGTTTACGTCGGTAGTGCACTGTGCACTCGTGGGGGTTCGAGTGCTAGTTTCAGATTTGACACAGTTCAGTACCAGGGTGCTTGCACCCGGTATAGTAGCTGCAGCAAGTAATCGCGTTAAAATGCCTTGACGAACGAGAATTCTTATGGAATCATTTGTTAAAAATGTTGTTCTACTAATCGTGTAAATCTTGCGGGTAACCTACGCGGGTGAATCGTACTGATACATGCTCGAGTCGCTGGACCCGTTTAGTATTTTTCGCGAAGCATGTGACCTGCGCAAGTGCCTCAACATGTGCAAGCTACTTGCATCGTGTATAAGCACCCTTAATCGCCTGTTCCACGCCCTAATTATCACGTAATTTCATTATATTTGCATATAATAATCTATACAAATAAATAAAATTGAAGGTCTGTTTATAATGTCAAAATAAAAGGTTTTTTCATGCTCATACGTTTATTTGCACGACACCTACGCCTAAAAACGAGTTTTAATATTTTTTGTCTGTCCGTTTGTTCCGGGTAATCTTCAAAACGGCTTTACCGATTTTGATAATATTTTACTACCAGGTAGGTGTCTATATAAGGAGTAACTTAGGCTATAAAACTTTGCACGGTCCGGTATCCGAACCCACTAAGGCAGCGCTTTTCAAATTCCATGAGCAGCTAGTATAAAACTTAATGTTGTGTTTTACATTTGCAGGTTTAACGATAGAAGACATTGATTATAACAGGTATCCTTCCAAAGAGTTTCAACTGAGGTGGTTAAATGTGTACTTGAATGAGTATTTAGATAATAATAAAGCTACTGATGAGGAAGTGTCTGCGGTATATCTTGACGTTCAACGATTGTCATTACTATCCCATTTCCTTTGGGGAATATGGTCACTTGTACAATACGAGCATTCCAGTATAGATTTTGATTTTGCAAGGTAAGGTTGGATGAGTTCAACACTTGTGTGTTTAACTAGAAAGGTCGAATCGTATATTTACCAAAAATCTTCTTAAAAAACGTTATTCAACTGGAGGCAGTTGATTTACGTTTTTTACGAATATTTAGGATACACAGAGGTGTATTCCCTACTGATTTGAGAGAAAAGATGAAATGATTGTGAACGCTCGAAATTACTAAAGTCAGACGTTATGTCCGACACTATGTCTTTCGGACGAGAGAGTGTTTCCCTGCTGCGCTGACATTGGTGAGATCTTCATACATTAGCTTGACCACCAGTTCTAGCCATTTGTTTGGAGGCGACAAAATTTAAAATCACGATTTAAAGACAACCGTCCCACACTTTCGGTCATGAATCGGATGATGAACTGCTCTTAGCGCCGCTACCGCTACCGCTCTGCCGCTACTAGGTCATCTGGGCCCACTCAGGGCTTTATTCTCTCAGCGATAAAGAGGCCATATTAAGTGCCGAACATCTTATGTTTTTAATTTTAGTCTTTTTCTAGACTCCGAGATAAAAAATCCATAAGTTAAGCACTTCAATGTTTTATTTTATGATTGACCAGTGCAGGGTACACTACGTTATAATGCTACTAAATAACTGGCCACGCGTATTTTTAAAGTTAAAAAAAAACGTAAAATGAAAGGAATCGATAGATTTTCGAAAATTATACCCTGTCTATAGATACTTACATTTATTATCTCTTTGACAGTTCGATAAGTAGTCAATTATAGTGGACCAAAAATGTTGCCGATCCTGGTTAAAGTAAGAAACGATTTTATTTCAGTGTAAGTTTTAATCCATTTGAAAGAGAAAAAATAATTAAAATATTAGTTAAAAAACTGACCTTGTTTAATAAATTATACTAGCTACTTCTAATATCTTACATGTATGAATAATAAATTAATACATGATGTTTCATTAACATTTGTTCACTAATCTTAGTTTAAACTAAAATTTTAAAATTTTGAAGATAACTATTTATAACCATAGACGAACGGCTTTTTATACTGATTTTAATATAATGCGGTAGACACATATGTTGTCAATTAGACAGTAATACGTACGATAAAACGTAACGCTTTTTATGACGTAAGTATATCTGAAACATTCATTAAAAAGGAATATAAAATATCTTCAAACGCGTATTTATTTATAGTGCAATCAAATAAAAACCGATAATCTTTATATTTAGAGGCACTTTATATTTATCAGCACAGTACTGTGCTGATAAATAAATATAAAGTGCCTCTAAATATAAATATAAAATTTAATGATAAGTATAAAGTTACGTCCTTAAACAACTCGAAAATAAAATAAAGGAAATGACACAGAATAGACAAATTTTCTGAATGCCTTTTGTAATTGCTCCCAAGGTTAACAAAGAGGCCAAAATATTCACTATCGCTTTTAATTATCAAAAAGCAAAGTTTTTTATTCAAAACACAAAGTAAATTTTCATTGTTACAGTGCTTACAGTGTCTCAGTATTAACTGACGGTCCTTGCATCTTATACTTATCGTCTACCTAGTTACACATCAATTGCGATTGGTGGAGATTTTAGTGCGGACCAATCGCATCGTCGAACACGCTCACCGTGAGGATCGAGTAGAAGTGAAATAAACTCACACTTGGGCCTTTTTTTTTTTTTTTTTTTTTTTTTTTTGCCGTGCGGAAATCCCCTCGGATACCACCTGTCGGTGGCATGTCGGACACGAACCGACTAAAACCGCACGCCTTCGCCGGGTACTAATTGCCGGGGAACCAGGTATACCCTAGAAAGGAAGGCCCTGGTGCCCCGACATACCTCGGGTCATCTACAGACGAGTAGACGACCCCCGCCCCGTGTGGGAACCCCATGTTCCCTGTGCTCCCTGGAAGCGAGCGCGCTTCGCAACGCGCTCGCCGCCACCCCGGCCTGCTTCTGCTAGGGTGACAGATGGCCTCACCTGTCACCCCCAGGCCTGCGCTTATGGAGGACGGAGGTCGTTCTGCGTCACACTTGGGCCTGAGTTCACTTTATGTTCAAACATTTTATAACATGGTTGTATTTCATGATATAACCAGCTAAAACGTTTAAACGTCAACGTTTGATCCACGTTTGATTATATCATTAAAAATATCCATGATATAAAAGGTTTAATAAAATTTAAATAAAGAAGAATCGTCTATTGCCCTTTCAGTTGCCATAACTACATTACTAAACGCTGAATTCATTGATATGACCAATAGCCAGACCAGATATATCACTAAAATACAACTATTTGATAAAATAATCAGACACCTGATGTGTCTGATTATTTGATGTGTCACACATCATCAATAGGATACCCAAATAGAATCTAGCCACTACATATTTATATTATGTACTCAAAAAAAAAAAAAAAAATTTAGACACCGATTCCACTGTAAAAGCACCAAAACTTGTCCCGTGACGGCTCAATGTTTGTATGGATGACAATCATCATCATCAGATGACAAGAGTCGCAGAGTCACTAGTGCATGGCAACGCATCACCACATCGCATTACATGTTACAAATACTATCACATAGCGTGACGACGCATGTCGTGGTGACGCGTCCCCATGCTCACAGCCAGTCTGACCCTCCGCATTGGATGTTTCACATCAAAAATTCTTTGGGAAATATTGTTTTGCTCACGTATGTGTCTCCATCAAGGAGAAACATTCAATTTACATACTCGTACATGAAGTCGACGAGGCAGGTGAGTAATACACTGTAGTCATGTAGTGGCAAAGACTTATGAGAGTGCAACCGTATCTCTGTAAACATAAAAGTTATTTTAAAATCACTATGAATGAATTTAACAAGAAACGACAAATATGTGACGCATAGCTTGTTGCACTATTAAAATTGGTAGATAATTTTTCTTTGTTTCAGTAAAATGCTTGCTCTTTGGTGTAACTAAACTCAGCAGACATGCTCACCATTGACATAACACGACGACAGTAATAACAATAGTAACTAAATGCAGCTTTTTCTCAGATTAGAGCGTCTTAGTAATACTTCTTAGGTTATGAAATTTTACTTTTAGTGACATTCTATTCATTGGTTTTTAAGTAACGATTTATCAATGCCAGTGCAAATAAAATTATGTCAATTATGCCAAAATTCAAAAATTATTTATTTTGCTGAAAACACTGTTACAATTGTCTTAGAAAATTACATGTTTCAAGTGCTTCTACCGTAAGATATGCAAAATTATAGTGGTTTATCAAAATCAAGATTTAAATGTCAATCATCTAATTATTATAATAAATTAATAGACCTGAATATACCTAATATGAAAAACATTATACACTTTACAATATTAAAAAAATATAGTTATTATTATAGTCAATATCATTAATATCAGATTCTTACATTGTCTAGAATTTGTTAGAATCTAAAAATTACAATAATCTGTCATTTAAAGTCATTTATATCATAGTAGCATTTATTGATGAGCAGTTTATGTAGTTCTTCATTTAATTGGCTCAAGTGTAAGTTTTTCATACTGTCAGGTAATTTTTCCGAGTTTCTGTGGTCATCGGTAACCGCTCACCAACAGATCTACTTGATTATAGTACATTTTATCAGTTCTTACCGGGAGTCCCCCTAGTTTTAGCATTACCCTTAAATGCCAGGATGATCTAATTAAAAATGAATGCAGCGGATGACGCCTAATGAGGTAGGCATTTTCCACTGCATTCATTTTAAAGTTCCCAAAAAAGAATGCAAAGTATTTGCAATTTTTGCTACTGTATCATTCAATAACATGTAATCTTCTATAAAGGAAGGTTTCCTCTTCCTCCAAGACCGCCAAGGAAGTGAACCTTGGGAACAAAATTTAAAACCGGTCCGTCTACCGGGACACATATATTACGTGACGAGATCCGAGCTGAGTGAATACCCTACACCCCGACTTGTTAAACAAATCCTCGAGACTCAGTATTTTACTTAGCTACAACTTCACTACACTAAAGGTACCTATGTCAAATTATGTCTGGAAGTAACGATGTGACTTCAGAACAAGTAAGCGAATTTCAGAGCTTAACAGCGACTTCTTTTTAGCATTACGAAGTCTGTGCCAATCAAATAAGGCCCTGAACAATGGGTTATTGAAATTGCTAAATAATATTTTATTCAGTCAGTCTGTCCTGAGTCAATAGACTCACTTACTGACTGACTTCCCTTGGATAACAAACTAAAACCTTTCTTACATCCAAAAAAACGTGTATTTCATGATACTGTTAATGTCTCACCTCTAAGAAGCGGTGTAGGTGTAAAGTTGATTGAGTCAATAATAAAATCATTTTATATAACCGCCTCATTTAAGTATATTCGTCTTTCAGTACACATACATATGTACATACGTCTTAGTCGTTAAATTACAAATTTTAAAACATAGGTAAATATGTGCGGTACATAGGTGTGGTATAATATACTAATTACATTTTTGATAAAAATGTTTAATTGTATGTGGTGGCTGGTGTACGGAGTATGAAGCTTGGCTTAAACCAACTTAACGATAGATATACATACTTGCTTTTACAATACAATATAATTAATACTACATACTTATATATATAACTTATCTTCTAGGATTGAGTAGGTATCTTATTAAATGCGTACAGCAAAACAATATTCCACTAGGATAAGATATATCGACGTGCAGTAATACCTAATCGTATTGCGAATAAGATCACATGAAATACTATTTACGTAAGGTTGTTTATTTACTTACATAAACGATGTTAGAAAAACACTATTGCCTCCAGCATCAGAGGGTCAATTCTCGTAATAAAAATTCATTCAAAATTCAGTTACAGTAATGTATTACTAATACTAGCAGATTACCGATTTAACTATCGATCACACTACGCTATAATCAAATTACATTCGACGTTGGATTTTAAAGAATTTACTACGAAAATACCTTTTATGTCATTTGTGAATTGATTTTTTTTATAAATTGACCTTCTGAACAGTACATTGTGTTCTGCCTGATGCAGTTACTTTCGGGCTGGCTCTCGAGGAGCCTAGAAGGGAATTTATTCCTTTCTAACGCTGCTGTAGTTGAGACACGCCGCAGCACATGCTTATAACTTTTCCGGCTATAACTACTTAAGACACAAACAGTGTCTTAAGTAGCCGTTCTTGTGTTTGAATTTGGTAGCGCAGTCATTTTACCAAGGTCAAGTTCTACGAGGACATCATTATACCGAAAGTGTCGTCAGTGCGTATCCGGGAGGATGACCTCCCGACCGTTTCCGTTGGCCCCAAGTGACCCGGACTGATGAGGCGCAAAAACGGAGAGCCTTGTTCGCACTGCATCAGTGGTTAAAAATGGTTTTATTTATTTCACCTGCAATGAGTTCCCAATGTGTGTCTGGACCAATCTTGCTGCGAGGCCAATGCCTCGCAGGCAACAAAACAAGATAGGTATATACATACTACTTATCACTTTTTTGTGTTGTAAATCAATTGACAGTCTAATTTTAAGCTTCTTGATCTTACTGCGTAACAATACATACGAGTACCACTTTTATTTCTTCGCTTATCACTATTCGATATGTGCGGTCAGCAACGAAGGTCATTGAACGCATTCGACACACAATAAAGTATGTACTAACATACGGAATGAGTCAAATAATATAGTCATATAACAAATTGATTTTTTGATAGTCAGCCTTCGATCAACAATAGCAACTTGATCGAAGTAGTCAGCTTAGTGTTTCTGCGCATTTTCGTGTGCTTATTGAATTAAAATTAGTCAACATTTTCATCTCATTTTGTATATATTTTTTTTTAATCTTAGCAAAATATTTCTATTGAAGCTAGGAGAATATTATTTTAGATGGAATGCGAGGTATTTAGGCAAATTTTAATTAGGATACAAATTAATTTGCAGCATGAGTGTCCTTGGAAGAAGTGATTTAAAAACCACAAGCTTGATTATAAAAATATTAAAAAACTTGGGGCTTTTAAAGAATTTCTTTTTTCAATCTCAAAAGATAGGGCGAGGATTTTTATAAAATATTTCCTAAAAAATAGGTATAATAATATAATAGTGTAATAATAATAGTGGAATATTAACATGACCCTTGATTACTATTGCGTGATGACTGGCCCCGGAAGAAAAATAGCGCAATGAAAAGTTAAGTCAACATTATCGTACACTAACAAAATTTTAAAGAATGAATACAACTGATAAGATAAATATGAACAAAGGCCAGTCTTATCGTAAAAGCAATTTATTACAGGCTAAATCCAAATGTTAAATAACCGTTGTAAAAGTGTAATGTAATAAACATCTGATATGATAGAAACAAGCGGAATCAGATGGTCTCAAAATCAGTACTAAATTGAAAAGGGGCAGAAATCTAAAAATTTTATTTGTGTCTGTTTAATTTACATGCTGGGTTTCCTAACAATTACAAGTTTTGGCCAACCTTTTTTGATGATCTTTTGAAACTATGAAATGTATAGTTTAAAGCAAAATTCTAGATCCGTAGAAAAACTAGTCGCAATCAGTCACAGTTGATATAATTATATGACTGTTGCATATATTATAGAACCTACATCACGAGATGTACGTGTGTTATCTGATATTAGTACGTACAAGTTATTAATTTATAAATATTTATTTTACACTTACCGGTCATCATTTAAAAGCGATAGTGTATGATTTTATGTAAATTGAATTGCTTCTCATTTCGAAATGATATGTTGTATACTTAATTTAAAGTAAAGATATGGACGACAACTATACTGACTACGACAACAAGTGCGATTCATATTTATCAACAAGCAATAGAAGCACACCTGCCCAAGTGTCGCTATTTAAAGAAATATTTTCATTATTATGTGTGTAGGTTTGACATAAGTTTTGGACATAGGACGACATCCAATAAAAGTCATTTCAATATTAGAATTTAGACAGATTTTAACAGAAACTTATAATTTTTTTATAAATACTAGCTGACCCCGCAAACGTTGTTTTGCCATATATATTATGTCGGTTTACCATAGCAGTGCCATCTATTGATTACTTACTCAATCCAGTCGAAAAGTATCGACATCTGTTAGAATATTTTGGAGTTAACAGATAATTGTGCCTGTCAATTAATTATAGACCAATAATTTGCAATAAAATAAAATTGCGACTATAATTAAAGATCTAAGCTATCCTATCTCTTAAGTTGGACCAGACTGCTCACGGTGTGCCAATTTAATTTAAAATCGGTTAAGTAGTTTAGGAGTCCATCGCGGACAAACATCGTGACAGGACATTTATATATATTAAGATAAACACTGATACCAATCGATATAAACATACCTAACGATAATAAATTATTGCTGTATTGATTCCGTTTTAGCACTGATTAACTGTTATTCACTTTTAAAAAAATCTGCTGTAGCTGTTAAGAAAGATCATTAACTAATATTAATTGGCCGCCTCTTTCAGAGCAGTCAACATTTTCTGGTTCAATTCATAACATGAAGATCTGAAATTATTTTTTAAGCCTTACAACTGTGGGAGACAGTCCTAAACACGATTATTGCAAGAGCCAGAGAAACAACTCAACTGTGGCTACTAATGCCCTAAATTTAGCCTCTCCATCCGTCGTCCCTTTACTCCGGACAGTTGTATACACAGAACAGTTAAAGGTTGTATATCTTGTAATAAATAAAACTTATAATATCGTTATCTTTTATTCCAGGTATGCAGAAATAAGATTAAATAAATATTTCGAGTTCAGGGATGCAATCTTCAATGAACTTAGTTGATTAACAATATTCCTACAATAATCATGTACCTACTGTAAGATGAACATTTATTTAAAAGTAGTGGAGATAAATTATTTTACATTCAGTACAATTGATTTGTAGTGGACAAAAACTGCTGTTGTTTTATGATAAATATTTTAATAAAAAACATTCCGAATTTAAATTCTTGACTTTTTTATTACTTTTCTGAATTTGAATTTAAATTATCCTCACAACTAGACGTATTTCTTTTTGAACTATTGCGGGCAGCAAACCGGTAGGCGTTTACCCTTTTTTTTATTTTTTTTACGTGTGGATACCTCGGGCCGTCACCCCACCGGACTTTACGGCGTTGTGGTGTGTCGGAATCGGACCGACTAGAACCACACGGTGTGCCACTCTGCACCTGCGATAGGAGGGATCCGGGAACTGCTGTTAAGACATCCGGACCCCTCCTAGCGCCTGTCCGCAATGGCGCAGGCACCACCTTCGGGTACATTCTCTATTCAGGCGATGTCCGGCACACGCGGATGTCGCCTCCTCGCGGCTGGCCGTTATGGCGGTTGGAGGGGAAAACCCGTCCCGTCAACTCGCAGCCACACTCAGGGCGGCATAAGGCGTTGGTAAGCGCGCCTTCGCCGCCTGGTTCGCCGGCGGAAATTAAGGTCGGATGTATGACCTCACCTCCGACCTTATTTTTCCTCCCGGGCCCTCTCCTTCTGCGACATGACATCTTCGCAGAAGGATGCTTCGGGACTCAATTCCCTCCTAGGGACCGAGTGCAGGTACTTCCCGAAGCAGCCGTGCCCGGAAAGGACCTGTGTCAGGCGGAAGGAAAGGGTGCTGCCGCACTCGTGCTGCCGCCCTGCCCACTCGACGATGACCGACTGGAGCGCCTCCACGGCGGCAAAGCCAGCACGTTTAACCTCCAGCTGGGACGACCAACGAGCCATCGTGGCTCGGCGAGCGTCCTCACGCCACTCGCGTACCTCTTCGGGCGGGGGCTGACCGCTGCAACCCGCCCGGAACTCAGCCGTCCGCCAATATACTTCGGCGAGCACTTCCGCCTCCAAATCCCACGGGGGAGTTCCGGTCAACGCGCACGCCACCTCCGTCGACACGGTGCGGTAACCGCGTATGGCTCTAACCGCCAATACTCTCTGAGGACGCCAAAGGCGCGCCCTATTCTGGGCGGCCATAGCCGCTGCCCACACCGGTGCACCGTACAGTACCACAGTGTATAGTGTACAATGCCATTGACCGGACAATCCCCGTGTACAGTCGTCTCGTCGCGACGCTGGGTCCACCCAGATTGGGCAAAAGTCGCCTAAGGGCAAACGCAGCACCGACCAGCTTTGTAGCAAGCTGTCGGAAGTGCTCGAAGAGCCACTTCCCATCGAGGATCAGATCCCCACATACTTTATCTGAGCCTGAACCGGTACGAGGACCGAGTTGACAACGATTGAGCCGCCGGGGGTGGACCACGACGGGGCCAATGGAATAAGAGGGCCTCCGTCTTATCCAGAGCGGGTGGCCCAGTCCAGCGCCTCAATGCGCCCGACTCTTGAAAATTCTGCTCCAGGGCTGTGACCAAGGTATCATCGTTGTAACAAATTACACCCAGCCCAGGGGTAAAATCAGCTCGAAGGGCCCAGTCGTACCCTATGTTCCAGAGGAGGGGTCTCAGAACAGACCCCTGTGGAACACCGCACGACAATGGCCTCAGATTACCATCTCGATCCTCGTACACGACGGTACGCTCCTCTAAATAGTCTGCCACTAGCCGCCTCAGGTACTTTGGCACCCCATGATAGTGGAGTGCTTCCCTGATGCAGCTGAATGGCAGACTATTGAATGCGTTGGCGATGTCAATGACACCGCCAACAGTACCAAGCTCGCCGCCTCTTCAGTCACGGCCCTCATGCTCAAAGCAGCGCCGACCGTCGAACGCCCCGCTCGAAAACCGAATTGGGCGTCCGACAGATCGAGGCCAACCTCGTAACGGTGGCGGGACGATGCGGGCAGAGATTGCCCTCTCCTACAATTTACCCACCTCGTCCAGCAACACGATGGGCCTGTAGGCCGCGACCGAATCGGCAGGCCGTCCTGGCTTTCTTAACAAGACCAGCTTCCCGCTCTTCCAGCAATCAGGGAAACGTTCGGACACCAAGCTAGTGTCAAAAACATCCCTGAGGCGGTCCCACATGTAAGCTCAGCATGGGAGCTCGGGCCAACACTAGGGCAGGTATCCCGTCTGGCCCGGGAGCGGTGTTCTTGAAACGAATTCGTAGAACAGCCGCCCTTACCTCCGAATCCGTGACAGGCGGAACATCTGCCTAGTTCTATCCGTCGTCTCTGACCAAAGAGGCCAGCGACGGTGGCGTGAGTTCCGCCCGTTGCGGGAAAAGGCCCTCAACGACTGTCTGCAGGAAGCTGGGCTGGAGACTCACCGTAAGGGGGGCCTGACGCGCGGAGCTTTTGTGGCGCCGCGCGATAGGGACGACCCAAAGGGTCCCAATTCCTCCAAATCCCTGACCAGCCATATGGCAACCTCCTCGGTCGGAGTACCTAGGAGTCAGCCAGGAGTGAATTATGGCTGCCTCCTCTGACCTACTACCTGTTCAGTCTAGCAACAGCCTACCGCGGATAGCGGGAGGAACGCCGCGCCACATGACCTCTACTACATTAGCTCGTAATTAGACTATGGTATCGACCCCCCAACGAGCAGACGGCGCATCTGATGGTAAGTACATGTACATGAACAGTAGGGATGGAATAAAATTACATTCACATGTGATAAATCATAAAATCACACCTGTGACTTATTTACAAAACCACTGCGACTTATTATTATTATGACGGTAGCGCAAGACACGCGCGAAAGGCCTAAATCTTGATTGATTTTACTGGGTTCACTGGGTCCGGGAGAGCTCGAATCGGATATATAAGTGATCCGAGAGCGTTTCAACCTCTTCCAGGACACGCCAGTTCCTTACTCGTGCGGCAAGGACAGGGGTAGCAAACGAAAGGTTCACTATCGACACCCCCTGGTGTCGCACGCACGTGTTGGTGGTGCCTCTGTTTAGAAGACAGAGGCCCGACGAGGCCGCCCACTCCTCTACTGCCTCACCCCTTGCGTTTGTCCTGGGAGAACTCCACGCAATGGACTTTGCGTTGAAGTCCCCCAGTACAAGGATGTGCCCAAACGCTAGTCGCCGCATCGAGGTCTCCAAGCTGTTGAGGAAAACCTCGAAGTCGCTCAAACTCCGGTTGGGGGAGAAGTATACACCGTATATAGTGATTCCCCCCACTCGGCAGCAACATATCCAGTGCTCTTGTCTCTCAGCGACAAGGGCGGGGAATGAGCCACCGTAGAGCCGACGACCCAACCAGTTTGGACGGGAAGGAACATAATAGGACTACGTGGCTACGGCCACACGGATCGACCGCTGTGCCATGGTTTGTAGAAGGAGATCCTGCGCTGTCTGGACAAGACTTGATCCATTACTGAATCGTTTCTACAACCTCCTCCATGGGCGACGGTGACGACCAACGAATGACGCCGGAGGCAGCCTGGGTCGACTGGCTAGGCCCGACATTTGCTGAGAATGGAGGGGAAGTTTGCAGCCACCCTGCCCAATCTAGTGATTGTCGGGCTTATTACCCGCCGCACGGCAGTGAGGGGCAGCAGAGCATTCTGCCGCCTTGTGCCCCGGTTGACCCGCAGTGAAAACATAATCCGCTGCAGTCAACAACTTACACACTTGACGCGTGTGTGTCCCGATGCCAAGCATTTAATACACCTCATCGGTCTCGCCGTCAGGACTGTGATCCTAGCGTTCATGAAACCGATGAGCAGCTTCCCTGCGTCACCAAAAATTTTGGCCGACGCAACGGGACAACTGACCCACACAGCGCCATGCCTTGGACCGGGGCGCATGGTGCCGACTGCAGCGATTCGCAGCTCTGCGCACTTGGTAGGTCTGACGATATTGACACCATCCGTGGCTGCGAATGTTCCCCGCAGCTTCTCAGCAAACGTGTCCACCGTCTTTGGGCCTTCAGCTCCATTGAACTCCAGAACTCGAGCTCCCATCTGTGCGAGGCGCATCCTGACCCATACCGTCCCGGCATCATTGGCGAGACTGTCCCGGGCCTTCTTGAATACGGCCGCGTACGACAGTTCGCCGTTAGCCGCCTACGTTGATACGGGACCACTACAGCCGCGGTTTTAGGCGGCTGCAGTTTCCGCGGCTTCTTCCTGTTTGTCACCGCCACCGAAGGTGATTGCGGAGTAGAGGCTGTTTTATTGGCAGCCTTCTTAGCCGCTCTACCTACCTGCCACCCATCGTTAGTGGGGGCAGATGTAGAGGGGCCAGGCACAGATGTCGGAGTAGGAAGTGGAGGGAACTCCATCCCAGTTCTTGCCACAGCAGTTCCGGCCCTTGATACCGCCGACTTTGACGTAGACACCGATACCGCCGCCGCCGCATACGATGCGCCCGGATCTTCTGCAGGAAAACCGCAGTCTTCTCTTCCGCTGCGCTTTCGCCCTCCGCTCTTAGAGAAGACAGAACCTGACGGGTCCGAGATCGGCTTGCGTGGCCTCCCTCTACAATGGTTCAAATTTACATTCCACTGGACCGCCAGGGGTAAACAGGAAAAGAAGCGCATTTTTGGAAGTTTACTTTTGTTGGATCCCACTTTAATATGTTCGGCGTTGGATCCCACAAAAAAATATTATGTATTTCCGTTGGATCCCAAATTAAAAAATGCAAGATATTTGCGCTAGATTATCGTTGAATCCCTCAAACTATTTCCGTTGGATCCAAAATGCTTAAAAAAATCTAAATGTGTAGGTACGAGTATACTTTCAACAACAAAATTGCTTGTTCCCAAATGCCGCCAGTTTTAGTGGTGGCCGTTGGGAATAAACTCAGTGGTCTATCTCTGACTAAAATTCAATTAATCTCAAATTTTTATCATACCCACAACATAAGTATGACAACTACACGTCTTTA